ATATATATATATATATATATATATATATATATATATATTTCTTATACATGCAACATATACTGCTGACATCTCCACGAGCGCTTTTGTCATCCCCAACTTGACCTCCCCTGCTGGGAATGAGGAGGGGAGGGACGCGCAGCGCCTGAGTCCATCGTCGTCTCTTAAAAACAAATGCTTGGATTGAAAAAAGTAGTCACCGCATCTCCGACCACCTCCAGTGACGCTTTCCTAACAGTCAAATATCTAAAAAATTAATCAAATGGAAAAACATTAAACCACGATCGGCGATCCCAAACTCGGCTTCAATTTCTTCTCAAAGTTGAGTTTTCCCTGTGCTAGATTTCGATCAATTTTCTCTTGGATATTGCGGATGCGTGAACTCGACCTCACTTGTGGAGTTTCACCGCCGCCGCTCGATGAATCTCTACCAACATCCGGCGGGCGTTTATTTCGCCATAGTGTGTCTTCTTAGTTTCCCCAGGAGTTATTTCCACTATATTAGGATTCAATTTTTTGTCAATTGATATTAACTTCCTTTAAAACCGCTATTACCATAATTATTGTGGAATTAAATCTTAGTTAGTATTCTAGTATGTTTGCAAATAAATACACTAGTACGATACCGGTGTACTACATGGGTACTTAAATATGTTAATATTTGTACAATAAAAAATAAAATAATTTATTTTATTGTGAAATTATGTATATAAATATACAACAATAATAAATAACCAACAAAGTGATAATTAATTCAAAATGACGTCCACATTTTTATAGTAAATTTGTCAAAAATGATATTTTTTTATTTTTTTTAAACTATATATGTCTAAAACAGATATCATTCCATATATATGACTCACTTTTTTCTTAATAAATAAAATAAGTTTAATTATATTGTGATTATATTTTATATTTATAGAGTCAGTTAATTTGTCAAGTATTTTAAATTCGTATAGTTTCATAATTTAGAGTATTAATTTACGCGGAAATGTGTTATTTATAAATTTATGAAACTTAAAATTATTTGTTACATTTAATTATGATATTCCTGTTCTTATGCAATTTATGCAACAACAGTTTAGGGAAATCCCCTAAGATTAAGGATCATTTGTATGCAGAGCTTATCGTACCATTATCGTATATTATTGTAATTACCACAACGTGAATAAAACAATTTAAGCATAAAGAGGTCGGACGGCCTTATATAGTATATAAGAAATGGCTCAGATCTTGAGATGATATTTTGTTTCTATAGAGTTTTTGTTGAGAGTATATTGTAGCAATAGTAAAACTTGCATCAATCCTCTTTTTGTATAATTATTGTGGGGTATTTATACTATAAAACCCACGGGCACAATCTTTGAGGTTGACATGTTACTGGTATGATTACCATTTAATGCGATGTGATGGCTATGTGCAGAACCGTCGGGTGGGTCCAATGTCTGTCGGTTACTTGTCCATGGAATAACTGACACATGTTTTGTCCGCATTTAATATCCTGTCAGAGTCTGGCCTTTATGAGGATCCGACCTACTCTCTTATGTTTGCGATTCAAGCGTTGTATTGAAGGCGGTTGATCTTCTTGTTAGTTCTTATAGTCCGACCTCTACATAAGGAGGTCGGATTCTTTAGATTTCCTTTCCGTCCGAGCTGTTGGAGGAGAAATTGGAGTCCGACTAATCTCATCATGATCTTTGATACTTAGAAATCATCATTAATAATTTGGATGCCACGTGTCTCTTGTTTATATCGACGCCAAATCGGGTCTCAACAATTCCTTTATATTTAATGTTTTAAAAATTATAATAACATTCACTTCCTTTAGATTTATTTTTTTAAACAACATAATAACATTCAATTTCTTATAATCATTTAAATCAAAAAATAACATTTTATAATATTTTTTATAATTTACTTTATGTAATATTTAATTTCCATATTTTATTAAAAATCTATGAAAAAACACATTAAATAGATTATTATATTTTATATTGATGAATTAGATCTTTATTATTTTTATATATTTTTTATATGATAACAAAATTAGTTTTATTTATAAAGATAGATGAAATTATTTTTTATTTTATATATGTAATATGGATGTCAAATTGAAGATCGTTAAAATATGATTAATTTGATATATCATATGTAAAAAAATAAAATACAAATAAAAAGGTTATAAAGTTTTGAACATAAAAAAATAATAATTTATGATAATTAATATATGAATTAAATAAGAAAAAGTAAGAATTGTATATGGTAAATCTACCACTTAGAATCAACACAGTTTAGAGTATCTCCAATGTGGTATGTTGTTGTGGTGAACTCAATGCCACGTGATCAAGCAGTTCAAATTATGCCTTCCAATGGCAAAATAAAAGATAAATGTTGTGCTGAGATGACAATAATTAATCTCTACACTGTGATAGAGAATGTAGAATATCCACATCCTTCTCCACATGATGACTCAACAAATTTGGGGGCAAGAGGAAAAATCAATTCTCAAAATCGTAGAAAATCTGGGAGGGAAAAATTGGCGGGCACCTTAAATTTTACCAATCGTGAAATTAGAAAAAACAATTTTCTCTTCTTCTGCATCTGCACCGAGAAATACTTTGCTGAAGGATTACAACTACAGATACCACAAAACAAATCTGATTAGCAAGTCACCTTCTTTCTTCATCGTATATGCGGCCAGGTATTTTCTTGGAATAAATAGCATTTTTTTTCCTTTTCACTATTGATATTAGGATTTGGTTGATTTGAATTGAATTTGGTTGAATTACTGTGAGCTTCCCTCTCGCCAAGCTAACCATTCTCGCTTAAATATGTAATTTTTGCATTCCCAATTCGAGAATTTTTTTCTGAGTTTCTTGAAATATTTTGAGGTGATTTGTCTGAAATTATATCCTTTTCCATGAGCCAGAGGATGAATTTCAAGTTCTTTGTGTTTCATTATTATTAATTCTGTTTATGCCTGCTTCTCTAGTGATGAGTGCTTAAAAAATGGTTTACATAGACCATTGTGAAAAATTAAAAAGAAAGATTTTATTTTTCTTTTTTTTTTTGACAACCTAACAAAGTTAATAGTGTTCTGGAAGTTCTTTTGACAGAAATATAGATAATTTGTTCTTTATGATTAAAGACTTTGATATAGAATCCATTTTAGTATAATTTGTATGATGAACAACTGCAAGAGTATTCACTTTAGAATCAATTTTATTCGCATGTCTTGTAGACTACTAGATGCTGTCCTATTATCTTAAAGCTCTTCCCTACCAATTTTTAATCTCATAACTGTTCAGTTTATTACTTTAATCTATTTTTTTTTAATGTAGAGAGAATATGAGTTGATGTGAATAGAGATATAAAGCTTTTTACAGTGAGGAAAAGGAGAAAAGGAAAAGGAGCAGGGAAAAAAAATGTAAGATATTAGTCTAGTACATGAAGCATGGTTGAACCTCAACATAAAATGAATTATCTCCAAACACAAAGATTCACATGACACAGGCAGCAGACATGCGAGAAAAGAAATATAGGATACATGTTTGAAATCATGTTTAATTTTTTAATTTAATATCATACTAGCACGTAACTTTTTTTATTACATTATTATTGTTTTGTTCAACTTATTTTAAATTCTTTTTGCTTGTGAAGATGGACAAGGATCCACAAGAATCTAATATCATGTCAAATTCTGATCAGCACTGTAACTATGAATTTGCATCTCAATTTCCAAATCCACATGTTCATCCCAACTCAGAATCTCATCCTCTTGGTTTCCATTTGAATTCAACTAATGGATTATATCCTTCTCATGTTGACCTACAATATGGAGCCACTCCTACATTTCAAAGCCTGCTAAACATGCCAATGATTAGAAATCCAATGTTAAGAATGCTCATTTTCCTATATACACTCCAACTCCAATACCCAGTTTCCAGACTCATGGTAATACTACTTTGGGTAGCAACCGAATTCCAGTTAGCACTCCAATGGTCACTTCTCAAATTTGTGGTAACACCACGGGCATCAACAATCAGAATCAAGCGACACCAAAAAGATTAAAACTGAGAGTTAAAGATGTCCAAATATCAAGTGTTAAAAAGGATTGGAGTGTAGAAGAAGAAAAAGCTTTCGCGAACGCATGGTTGAATGTGTCTTTGGACCCTATTGTGGGTAACAATCAAAAAGCTACTGCTATGTGGGTTCGTATCCATCAAGTATGGAAGGAAAACATGGGGTCTGGATGCAAATATCTTAGATCGTCTAATAGTTTACAATGTCATTGGTCCATAATACATGCATCGGTAAACAACTTTGCAGGACATTATTCTAAACTAGAGAGACATCCTCAGAGTGGTACAAACTCAAAAGACTTGGTAAGTATATTATGTTATATTAAATTTTGTCGTCATAAAATAATTTTCTTGTGACCTATCGTTGCATTTTTCATGTCTTATTTATTATCTTTGTAGATTCACAAGGCGTTGGGTATGTACGAGGATATAGAAGTTAGCAAATTCAAATGGATTCATTGTTGGGAAATAATGATTAAAAATCCAAAATGGCAGCCGAAACATGATAAAACATGGCACCAGATAGCAAAGCGGATGATGAAAACAAGTCGCCTACATCTGAAGAGTCCTTGTTGAATATCATCGATGATAACACAACGCCTGAAGGTAATAACTGTGATGGTGTGGGACGACCAACATGAAGAAAAAATAGTAAAGAAAAGAAGAGAAAATTGCATGATTAAAAAGGTGTGGTGGATGCATTAAACAAATTGCAGTCCACTTTGGCAAAGCAGATTAGTATTAATGAAAAAACTTTGGAGATGAAAAAGCAAAATGAAGAAGAAAATATCCAGTTGAAAAGGCAAGCACTAAACAGAGAGATGGAAATGAAGATGAAGGAACAAAAGAGAAAAGGCCAAGAACAGATAATGAACCAAGATTTAAGTAAGCTTACACCTGTAGCTAGAGCTGCATATGAAGCCATGCAAACTAATATTTTGAAAGAATGGGAAAAGGATGATATATTTGAAAACTCACAGGTATACTATTATGTGCTTTTGATTAAATTTTAAGTAAAAAAATATGTTGATGAATAATCTATCTTTTTTATATATTCAGGATTACGAGGCTTGAGCAGAAGACTTGGACTTATTTTAGAGTTGTGCATGATTACCATGTTGAACTAAATATTGTTATTTTCTTGTTGTATTGTTTTAGTTCTTTTTTTGTTTTTGAAAAAATACTGAACATCATTGTTGCTACTTTTATTTATGAACTAAATGCAAGATTTTGTCCAAAGATTTAATTTTTTCTTCTTCATTTTTGTTTCCTAATTATGGTATGTTTTTAGTGTATGAACAGTCTCTTATTTTTTTAGAGATGGAATTTTACTTGTTCTNAAAAGAAAGTTGAATTGTGATGTGTGATTAGAGATAAATAGGTAATACTGGCAGTCGACTTGTGCTATTGCAACAGAAAGAATGTTTGGGTTTGTGACACTTGTGTACCCCAAGACTGTTAAGCTCTTTTTGGCTAAAGGGAACCTCATTTTGTGTGTGATTCACGCGTGCTAATCAAGCCATACAAGGAGAAAGGCAAATTTAAAGACAAGTGCAATTTTCTACCATCTTTAGTCTTCACTCTCCATGATGATCTTTAAGATTTAGCCGAACGTCCATTTACTTATTGTTATTGCTATTTTAATATGAAATTATTTGTAGAAAACAACAGCAGCAACATTGCACTGGGTGAATAACTTTTGATACCTTCTATGAATATGTTCTTTGTGTTTGTGAATGAATATCTACATCCATTTGTGCTCAATATTTTTATTGCAATATTGCATTTATTTACTTGAGTAGAAGGATAAGAGAAAAACAGAGTTATATAAGCTTTAAAAGTAGTGAAATTTTATTTCTTATTGAGTTATGTAGATAAAAGCGATAAAAAGAAATAGAACTGGATAACTAAAGCACATTATCAGTTTCTTCTTTGTTGAGTTTTTTTTTATCAGATTAGTTTCTTCTTTTAAAGACTAACCCAAAGAAAAAAGAGGAGCTCAACAGTCACGAGTTGTACAGACAAGATTTGACCAATGCTCTCTCAGAATAAATCAGAAGTTTTCCATTCACATCATCAAATTAACACTTGAGCTTATCACACTACCATCAATTGAAATAATGTTATCTCAAATAAATTAAAAAAAAAAAAAACAATAATCATTGAAGAAAATAAAAATACAAAAGTAAATTTAAGTTCAAGATACAATTATAATTCAATCAATTTGTTGACCACCATGTAAGTTCCATAAGTTTTCGATGAGATCAGTCTTTAACTCCCTGTGCACTCTTTTGTTTTGTATCCCTTCATTCTGCTAGTCATCATTGACACGAGATAAGAAAAATCATGCTCTGGAATGACATTATGATTTACTTCATGTCACCTAATTTGTTCTGGCTGCCAACTCTCGGGATTCATGCCTTGATTAGTTTCATTCTCAACAATCATGTTGTGTAAAATGATGCACGTCTTCATAATTTTCTCCAAATCTTTAGCATTCCACATACGTACTGGTCCTTTAACTATATGCCACCGACTTTGCAAAACACCAAATGCTCGTTCCACGTCCTTTCGTGCAGCTTCTTGACACTTGGAAAATAACTTCTCTTTCATTGAAGATGGACTAGAGATTGTCTAAATTAAAGTGGCATATTGTGGCTATATTCCATCTTATAAGTAATACCCCATATTGTAATGATGACCATTCACTACGAAGTCGCATGCCGGAGATTTTTCATTAATTAGATCATCAAACAATGGAGACCTGTCTAAGACATTAATATCATTATTCCAAAAAATGCATGCCAAATCCATAAATTTTGTGAAGCCACAATCTCTAAGATAAGAGTCGGGACTCTTTTGAAACCATTAGTATGTGTTCCGTGCCAAGCATTCGTATTGATGCAAGTAATTTTTGTAAAGGAGTTAAACCAGGCTTCCCAAAGGCATCAAACTTTAGTGTGAAATAATTGTCATAACCTTGAATTGCTTTTGAAATAGGTTCAAACAATTCGATGGTCATTCGAAAACGACGACGAAATTGGTCAGGAGTGTCTTTCGAATTCTCGCCACTAAAATAGTCTTTGACAATTACATCATGCCGTTTTCTATCACGATGTATATAGCATCTCTCACTCGTATACCCGCCATGAAGACCTTTTTCTTTGACCAACATCGTCGAAACTATTAAAAGGACATGGAGTAGACATGTTTGAACCAAATCCATATCTGTTTCTGTATCGAGAGTGTCATATCCTATAGGCTCATCCAACAGTTTTTTAGTTAACGAAAGTTCGCAATCACTGCATGATGAACTATTGGAGTCTGAATCATAACCAAAATTTGTCATTTATTCTTTGTTAACCTGTAGAAAAAAAAAAAAAAAAAATAAAAGCCTCATAGAAGTTATCAACAATATTAATCTATAGAATATAACTAAAGTACTTATGTTAATCTTGTGGTCATCAAACATAATTGATCAAATAAAATAAGCCAAGTTCATATTACATGCAATCTAATAAATAAATATTACACAATAAATGTATCATCAAACATACACATTCTACAAAGAATTATAAAAGTATGATAAAAAAATGAAAAAAAAAAAAAAAAAAAAA